GAGGAAAGGGGAAGGGAGGAGAGGGGAGGGGAGGGGAGGGGGAAGGGGAAGGCAGGGGAGAGGGGAAGGGGAAAGGGAAGGCAGGGGGAAAGGAAGGGGGAGAGAGAACCAGTAAGGAAATTAGGTCTACCTAGGCAAGAGGCCAAGCCTCATTGTCCCTCTTCATGTGGAAGAGTTCACCATATTTAATATGTAGAGTCTTTACTCTTATAAGACACAGGGCACCAAAGAAAAGAACACAGTCACAGTTCCATAAATCAAAGAGGTGGCTGGTGCTGAGGAAGAAGGCAGCTTTTGAAGCACAACCATAGCAAGAAAAATGGAGAAAAAATGAAGCCTGTGTTTGGAAGTGCTCCTCCCTTCTTTCACCGCTCATCCCTAAATAATTCCTAACTTCGAAGTGTTGTTCTGCTAGTTTCCTCCTGATTAGATATGAGTCCTGTTAATCTTTATTTCCTTGCACATGGCACATATTCAGAAAAGAAACACTTAAGCCAAACAGCATCTAAAACATTTGGGAACTTTCTAAATAAAATAGTAGAGCAGGGAATAGGTAGTCCTGTGTACATGAGACATGGGCAGCATTGTCTTTTTCAAAGAAAATAAAAACATTAAGCTTTTTGAAAGTGGTATTCAAAGATGAGTTCTTGGTAGCATCATTTTGGGACTCTACTTTCATGAGATGGTTAATTTTTCCCTAGAAAAGAGAAAAAAATTCACTCAGATAGGCCAAGTCAACTAATTTTCACTGAGTGTCTATGTAAAACCAAGCAATTTTTCTAGAACATGTAAGGAACTGTCTTTGACTGAAGGTATCCCCTATAGGCACACTAAGGTGGAGATGCTGCCACAAGTAATAAAATCACTAGAACAAGAATTGCTTTAAAATCTCACTCATTCCCACTGAGTGGCCCTAGCAAGCTCTGCTGTGGGTCCAGGTCTATGCTAGAGAGTTCATAAGCATGAATCAGAAAAGAAGTTGGAAATGTGGCCCACTCTTCTGGCAGAGAAGAGAGGTGCTTTTGTGAGTAAAATGGAGAACGCGTGAAGCAAACAACACAAGACATCTGCTCAACTTGACTCCTAACCCTGGACCCCGGTTCCTACTGACCAATCTGCTCCTGAAGCTCATGTCAGCAGACCATATATAGGTAGAATCCAAAAGAAGCTCAACTCCACTGATCCAGCACCAGACAAGAAAGAGTAGAGGCCCAAAGTGAGGCCCATCATCCAGTAGGGAAGAAACTGTCTGTAACAAGGATAGTGGAAGGCTTTTGGCAATGACGGTGGTTCAGAGGGAATATTTCCAGGAATTCACTGTGCATCTGTGTTAGCTCCATCCCAAGTGTTATTTCTTCCGTGGTCTTACAGTAGTTATTCCAATTGCAACAGAATTATGGAGGCAGCCAGGGAAGTGGTAAAGGATGGTGTCTTGCAAAAACATTCAATGTCTGTATAATTTTTATTAAAAAACAAACAAGCACTGGAAAGTAAAACTTGGCAAAATCTTCTCCATTGGCAGTGAGCCTCAGAAGGTAGCCCAGGAAACACAACGAGAGTGTGCCTTAAATCCCTCTAGAAACCTGCTTTACCACAGTCTGATGAGGCTTTCATTAGCCTCCTTACTATATAGGTGAAGTTGATGTAGAAATCCTCAGAGGCCCCGGATAGCAAGCTGTAGAGGAAACAGCAAGCCTTGGTCTGTGCCAGTTGTCTTGTTCTATCACTAGCCTCTTCTACTTGTATGTTGAGTGTCTGGATGGAGACCCACTTCTGGTTACAGCTCCCTTTACTTGCTTTGTCATTCATTCATTAGATATTACTAATTTTTGTGAACTGCAGTTTAAAATGTTCATCAAGAAAAGTGCAAATGTTAACTGAATACATTCCCTCGTGTTGAGGAACTCTGAGCATCATGTGAACTTAACATTAAGTTCAGGTGCATAAGCACCATCTTCCCGTGACACTGGTGTCTTGTGGATGATGCACTCCCTCACTGCAGGGCCCTTTGTGTTTCAGGGCATGAACTACCTGGAAGACCGGCGCTTGGTGCACCGTGACTTGGCAGCCAGGAATGTCCTGGTGAAGACGCCCCAGCATGTCAAGATCACAGATTTTGGACTTGCCAAGCTGCTTGGTGCTGAGGAGAAAGAATACCATGCAGAAGGAGGCAAAGTAAGGACGTTATATGTAAATCAGAGCCATCTACCTACCTGTATTTTCCAGTTGATGGAGGAAGCGTTTGTCAAACGTTCTGAGTGGGTCACAGTAGCTGCCACTACCATCTGGGTCTACCCAGGGTCATCCTCTACTTTGTAAATGGAGTTTGGTAGAAGAGGGAGTGAAGAGGGAAACATGATCTTAAGTCACCATCTCTGGTGTCTATTAACGTCTGCTAGGTTCAGCACCTTCCTCCAGGACAAATGACTAGCTTGGAAATATCACAGCTACTTTGGTGGCACACTCTCTTAAGACTGTCTCAGATATATGACAAACTGTCTGTGTTTGTGAGTTCCTGTGTGTCTATGTAAAGATGCACTAGGGACTGATCCATCTCAGTGATGACTGAGGAGTCTGGCTGTCATCCTTCTATATGGTATGAGGTTCTTTCGGGGCTCTGTCACAGCAGTGAAGAGTACACAGCCCTGTGAGACCCTCCAGATGCCATCCTACAGCCACACCCAGCTATAGCTTTGTCATGCTGCAGCATGATTCCAGACAGTACTGTCAACGCTGTGAACTTGACCATTGAAAACATATCCAAAATCTGGGAACGAGGGCAGCAGGGCACTACCAAAACCTCAGTTAATCAGAACAATCCATTACCCCCAAACCTCTCAGCTGCAGCACTCATGAAACAACTGTGGTACCCACCTTTTCTCTGGTGTCTGCTGGGAGGGAGCATAGGCCTGAAGCCTGGCAGGGAAGTCACATGCACATGGCTTCCCACATTAGTAATAACTCCTAAAGTGAATTTTTTCAACAGCCATAAGCTAATATTCTCTTATTGCTTCATCTCTCTGTCCCAAGGTGCCTATCAAGTGGATGGCTTTGGAATCAATTTTACACCGAATTTATACACACCAAAGTGATGTCTGGAGCTATGGTGAGTCAAAACTCTTACCGTAATGAATTTGTACTGAGGCTAAGTGGGCTCTTATTATTCGTTAATTGACATTATATGCTCTGACATTCAAGTGTTACCTTTCAAGACAATGACTAATAATTATGTAGTTCCTCTCTGTCTATTGTAGTTAGAGAAACCAGCAAAAGAAATGAAGCTTAATGACCATAGTAAGTGTCACCAGAGACAGCCATGAACTCATGCAACAGTGAGGTCACAGGGGAAAGAAGACTAGAACATGGGAAGGCCTCTGACTGAAAAATCAAAGAGATAACTCCTTTCTGTGAACTGGGGGTGAACCAAAGACACAAACGAGGTTTTGTGGGGAAGTCTTCCTGTTAGGGAAATGGTGTTTCTCATGCAGTGATGACCAAGGCCTTTGTTTCATGTGGTGCCTGATTTATATCTCTGTGTCAGGGGAATGGCTTGTCAAGGGTAAACGATGAGGATAACTGTGGGAAGGAAATATGAACAAGGAAATAGTTACTGCTTATTGCACT